TGTCTCCAGGAATAACCTAGGAGCGATTCAAAAATAAGATACGCATCTGATCCTTTAAGCATCTGTGAATCCTATTGGTTAGGGTTAGTTTAGGGGCAAGACCAGCTGGACTGTACTGACCGGATAGGCTCTACCTTGTGCCATCGGTCAGAAAGCTTTACTCTGGTACTCTAAGAGATTGGCAGAGGGCGTCCAAGTCGCGTTTATGTTAACCAACTTATAATAAAAAAGTTATGGAACAAATAAAGGCCGACTGGATCTGAACACCAGAATCCGCTTGGTTTCCCAGAACAAAAGAAGTCTGTACATTCGATAACAGAAGGTAGGAACAGGCGATCGATAAAAGAATAACCCATGTAGGAAGCAAAGACACGGATGGTGGGAACAGAACTTAACTTGGGCAAACATGACCAGACCGATGACATATTAGTCAGCCAGTTTGGGGTAGTCGAGGAACTAACAGATCCTGACCAGTCATCAGTTCCTATTCTCACTTGGAATCAACAAGAGCCACCCGCGTCTCTGTACACGAGGTTGGCGAAACAACTGAAGCGTAGGCCAACCTCTACAAGAGGTGCTTCTGGCGCATTCGTACTCAATAACATGTTAGGGTTCCTCACGAACTCTGTTCCCTGCAGTTGTAGATTAGAGTGCACTGTGAATATTTAGTAACGCAATAAATTAAGGAAACTAGCTACATGATCCTGACATAAGAGCATAAAATTAAGCAGGCTAGTACAGGGTAACAGGCGCAAACATAAGATTCTTATACATCAGTAGAAGCTAAGATCGACAAGTTACATAAATGGGTTTAAACGTACTAGACCAAAGAAGGCAGGCACATCGTCAATGTTGGCGTTTACAAACTGCAAGACTTCATTTAGAGTAGAGTCTTGGGGTACACCCGCAGAACTGCTTGCAACGGCTGCCAGCGCAGTGTCCGAGGGCACTTCCTCATCCCTCTGCACCTCAGAGGTCGAGACAGAGGCCTGTTCATGACGCGGCACAGTGGACGCGTGACTGACCGAAGTAACGGTAGCAGTAGTTGTGAGAACGTGGTTGAT